TCCTGTTTTCTTTCAACGATAACAATCAAATAAATTAAATATAGAAGAAAATCTTAATTGTGATGAAAATAAGGAACGATTTTTAAATAAATTTAATAAGAATCGAAACTAATTTCGACGAAGGAAAATTAAAGAGGGAGTCAACGTACTAATTGAGCTCACACTCCCAAATTTTTCCTTCTAGAAGTTGCAAATTTGTCCAAATTTCATTTTTTAAATTAAATTTTCTTCCGTTTACACTAAAAAAATAAGCCGTAAACGCGTATATTCTACTTTTTATGACTAATATTTCACGGTCTGTGTTGGTCATTCACTTCATTGTTTCTGTTGGAGGCAGTAAAAGTGAGGAAAGAAACGAAGATGCGGGGCACTCCAGCAAATTCAGCGAGGGCAAAGAAAGAATTAAATTGTTTTAAACCCCACAATTTTCTAACTTATAAAAATTAACGACGGGTCTATAACCTTTCAGACTTGGTAAAATAAAAAAGGCACCTCAATTGTAAAGAAATATAATCCGCACCAGAAATTAATTTGAAGCAGGAAGTTTGTAACGAATTTAACTTGTTAAAGGCCTTATCGAATGTTACGCTTGACTGTAGTTTATTTTATTGATGGATAAGAGGATAGGTGATCATAAACAATCACCCCGAAACAGTAGCGTGCGGTAATTAATCCGTTTGCATTCTGTTACGTTACGCCAGCACAACTTTACCAATTAGTTTTTACAGCTCCTCGTAACGAAAAAACATAAAAATTAATTCCGGTCCTGTTCTAAAAATTCCAGATGATGTGATACCGTGAGAAATGTTCAACCTCCCATGTCAATTTTATGACGGTAGAGCTCTAGAATTACGTTACTGACAGATGGACAAACTGTCTGCATCATCTTCACCTGTGTTTTTTATTTTGGTCGTTCCACCTCTATTTAATTATCCTACATTTCATAATGTTCTTGAAAAAGTGTGGCAGTGGAATGCCTGAGCAGGTCACGCCATGATATTGTTACTGTGTCAATATCGTTGAAAATACAAGTGTATATCTTTTTATTCTTTGATAGTTTTATGCCTGAAATGTTGAGGATGCTGGGTGAAATTTTCATATATTCCTGGCATTTTTATAAGTATCAGGAATGCCAATAAGATGGCATTTCAGTCGGTGACCTTTCAGACAGATTACGTGACATTACTGCGAAGAAACAGTGGTACAAGTCGACCCCCCTATATTTTTCCGTTTTATATGAATTCCATGTTGTACGAGTCACTTAAGTTTTACAAATACGTGAGCCGTTCACAACCCGGCACACGTATTTGTAAAATCTAAGTGACTCGTACAACATGGAATTCATATAAAACGGAATTATCAACAGTGTTATAGGGGGTCGACTTGTATAGTAAATATTCTACTAAGGTGATAACTAGTTCATAAGAGGATAGGATACGATACAGATACGTTAACCTGCTTATGATAATACAAACTGAAGCGTATCAATATCGCATCAAATTCGACTCCAGTAGACATTTATAATTAGAAAAAAATAAGTGAAGAAGGTCAGACGAAATTCCATATGAAAGATCTTCTTAAATTGTATCAAATCTATCAAAATGGGCCATATTAATTAAAGACGTGCGAACAAATTCCAAAAGATACGATATGCACCCATAAACCCGGCAAACCTTTATGGATATAAATGCAAATCTCTAACGACATTACGAAATTCTGTTACAAGAGCACATCAAAACTAACAAAAATAGGTCACGTCAATGAAGAAGAGCGGATCAAATTCGTTATCACGCGATACGGATTAATCTGAATCAAATGATTCTACACTCTTATGAATAATAATATTAATATTAGCATAAATAATATAGAACATATAATGACATACACATTATAGAACAAGAAGCATTAGTTGAAACACTACAGAACACATGATATTAGCATAAACTCTACGGGCTAATAGCGTAGACATTATAAAAAAAAACATGATATTGACTTACACAATGTAAAACACGTCATTAGTTTAAACACTATAAAACACATGGCATTGTCTTAACACTACAGAACATATGCCACTAGCATAAACAGTATAAAACACATAGCATAAACACTAAATAACACGTGACATTTGTTTAAACGCTATAGAATATAACATTAGTATAACACTAGAATATACAAAATTACTATAAAGACTAGCACGTATCAGCATAAACTTTCAAATTGCATAGAGTGGAGCATAGACGAAATCCTTTAATATCCTTTATAAACATCTGTAAATATATCTAAATACCAAGCCCTTCCTGGCGTAAAACTCCATTTTAAGGGCTCATTTCAGCTTCCTTAAAACTATCAAAAATATAAATATGGAAGCAAAAGAAGCGATCGTAAATTTCGATACGATGCGACATGGATAAGTCCAAATCAAATCGTTGTAAAACTATTAATAATTTCGATATCATTACCATAAGTGGCAATAAAAAAGTCCCATTACTTGACTCCATCTGAAACTACAAAAAGCCATCAGCGATTTCAATCAGCAATCTGGAAAAAAATGTTTGGAAATTCTTCTCGATACGCTTCATTTGCATATCCACGCGTTATGAAAGAACAGTAAATCATCAAATTCTACAAAACTAAGTTTAGCTTAAGGTGTTCTCGGGCATATTCAGGACATGCCATAATTTTTTTTACCGCTGGGACCTTTCGTATGGCCTAATTTTTGGCCGAAATTTTATTCTAAACGCGAATCTAATAAAGGATACGGAGCAACAAAGAGTACGGATATAAGCAAAAAGGGGTAAGGATAATTGTTAAGGGGAAGGACAGATAGCGTAACATGCACCAAAGAACATTTAAGAACATTTAAAATTCTCATAATAACAATTATTTCGGTCTATTGCTTACGAACAATATGAACAAATTAAAACGAAACGTCCTTCAGGAGCCATATAAAAGTGCTAATAAGGAGTAGTAAAAACTGCTCCTTTAACCCAATGAGAGTAACTTTAATTGGGTTTTGTGCTCTCGTTAATGACAATTATTATTATTTTATTTATATTTTAATTTAATTGGATTCTTTTAAATTGTTATATGACCCATATTTTTGATTAAAGAGGTTGCCACTTCTCTAGCTCTTTTCCTCAGGCAGTTCCTTCATTTACGTTTGACCTAATGTTTAACGAGTAATATAGTCTGTATGTGTGTCTGTTCTTGTAAATCTTTAATCAAAATAGGTTATATTTATATAGAAAACTCGATTTAAAAAAATATATTTTTTTTCTCGTGAGTTTTCTATCCTCTTTTTACTACTCTGGAAAGGAGGAATTCAACTTTTTCACTCCAAACTAATATTATTTTGCTATTTTTGGGTAGTGTCAGTGCCGATAAGGCCTTGCAAGCTTCATAAATAACCATAAAATCGATGATATTAGTAATAAACAGCACCTAACAGAGATAAGATTGAGCCTAGGGTAGTTCAAATGTGGGCCTCACTCTTTTTTTCGAAAGCCCCTAAAATATAGAAGTTTTCACCTCTTAAGAAGAAATGTTACGTATGTTTTTTAGCATAAACACTAAGTTTTGTGTCCTGAACACGAGTTAATCTTTACCTCTTCTATACGAACATGATGGAGTACCATTCACAGAACTTGTGGGCCCAGCTCCTGTCTTTTAGAGGCCTTAGATTAGATTAATGCATCGAGAGCCTCAATCCTCGGGCCTCTTTAGCGGCCCTAGCTATACGAAAAAATATTTAAAATTTTTTCTGGTCCTCTGTCCTTTAAAAATATATCGATTTTGATTATTTTATCGCATTACTAATGATGATACCCCTTATTTTTGATACTTCACAGATAAAATTTATGATTATTTTGGTATTATACTGATAGGTTTAATTGTAAAATCGATTTTTTGCATGATATTACATCAAAATATTTGAATATTTCACGTAAGATATTCAAAAATGAATATACAAACAGCGAAATTTTGCTATATATTCGATACTTCACACGTAAAATTTATGATTGCTTGACACGATACCGACAAGTTTACGAATAAAATAGGGTTTTAACACGCTGCTACATCGAAATTTTACGTGTAAAACACAGAAATAGCAACAATTTGCTATTTTTAATTAATATTTTTTGATATTTTATAGATCAACGTGTGTTATTTTTAAACAAGAAATTCACAAAAAAATTCTAATTTTCTCAAAAAGTGGGACGAATTCAATTTCCATCACGTTTACTTAACCATTTTTAGCGATTAAATTAAGATAAAACACAGTTGAGACAACGTGAAAAGTGTTTCCTGAAACCAAGTGTGAAAACTGCGCGTTTAAAAACAATCAAAAATGCGATTTTTTAAATAGTAGATATAAAAAAAACACATATTTACTACACTCTACTTGATACCCTAATTACATTCATTTAAAACTGACAAGGAGCCATAACAGGATATTCAAATTTTGTGCCCGAAATGTACGTTGCAGATCCTAGATTTTTACGTGTCCTTGACTTATCCTGCGAATCCACACGTTAAAATTAAAACATCCTTTAAAAAAAAGGGGCAGATAATTTCGATGGTAGAGTGAGATTCCTGATGCCCTTTTATCACTTACAACACCAAAAAACATCACGTGATAAGGGCGAGAAAACTTTCGTTGCCAACCAAACGGAACAGTTCGGGTCGAAAAGACGTGTTGCTCGCTATCAATATCACGGTTTAGATGATAAAAAATGGAAAAAATCGCGAGTAAACACCGCAAAACACCCAATTTTTCAGCCAAAAAATCCCTAAAAACGAAAGCGAATTAGGGAATTTGAATAATTATTAAGCAACCGTTCATCGTATTAAAAATATCGAACGGTAAAAAAAGAAAAGAAATGGCCGTCTGCGCTTCTTCTTAATCGACTTCTGAGTCGAGAGTAACCGGGTTCGCAGGTAGCCACGTGACTCCAGAGTCACTCACCTGGTACAACAGGTAAGACGACGTCACCCGCTTCGATCAACCATTCTGTTAGAAGTTGCTGCACCGGACTGACGGAACGTCCGAGATGTTAATAAGACATCGTAACATGTAGAAGTAACCGAGTTTAACCTTTAACCTTTGTACATATTGGATAAGAATAAAAAAAAGGTGGATTATGTGATGTGCTACAATGGTCCCAGGATGAATTTGAGATTGTTTAATTCAAGCCATATGTATTTTTACGTTGCATGTTTATCTGTTTTTCTGCTGTCCGTCCAGTCCTGTAAGTAACACAAATCTCTTTATAATTTGTTAAATTGGCGTAAATTACTATAATATAATTGTAATTATGAATGGTTTTTTCTTTAATCTTTTGTTAATAAATTATAAACTGGTAAAAGTTACTGTCACTAGTTATACCTGTTTAAGAACGAGTTACGATCTACCCACTTGTAAAGTTGCTACTCACCTTTAAAGGGATTTTTATCGATTTTAATCTAATCCATACACGATTTTCGTTTTCGTAAGGCGATTTTAAGCTGGAAAACGTTACACGCGGGAATTTTATAACGCGTTTTGCTGGTACGAAAACGTCTACCAGTGTATGAATCTCGTTATCCATTCTTCAGATGTATCATTGAAGCCGATTCTTTTTACATTTGGAAGGGTTTAGAGTCTGTTTATTAGGCAAAAACATCAAAATTACGTGTTATACATCTTAGATTTTGGATAGAAAACGAAACAAAACGTGAAATAAACATAAAAAATTGCTCTCAGATTCCAAGAATGGCGATGAAACAGGTTAAAATCTCAACGATGCTGCTGAGAGGAATCAAAATTTCGATCAGAAAATGTAATATTATCGTCATACAAATTCATGAAAATGATATTTCGACATCATGCCTTATAGTGCCAATGATATATTTCATGGTATTATGGTGTTGTTGGTACATTTCATCGGCAACTTCTGTGGCTGAACGTTAATGAATCCACTCTTTCACGATCGAGAGAATGAAGATTCAAGCAAGATTTTAATCTCTCTACGGGGTTAAGAGCAAGCGTTTTTACAAAGAGATACCATTTTAACGTTAGAATTAGCTGGAGGACTTTGATTTTTTTTAAATTTTATATCATTGCAGAGACTCTCACCATATGCAGATATCCTGTTTGGTTAGTCATTTAGGTCAGCATGAATTATGCGACTGGTCAAACCCGTTACATTCATACCGTTACACAGCCTTGGACATTTTCGTGGTACGATTATTAAATGGCTCAAAACATAGAAAAAAAAATTCATTAAAGAATTCCGAAGTTTATACAACATAATAGGAAAGAGAAAGAAACAATATGCGGAACGTAAAAGTAAAAAAAGGAACCTTATTGTAACTAGTTCAGTTTACAGGTAAAGGTTGGTAATTTTGATTTTCGCACGCAAAAACAAGAAAGGAATTATCAAATTTGTGTGAAAGGCACTCTCCTTGTCCCGTTAGTAGTTGGGCAACCAAGGTACGCAATGGGCAAGTATGCAAATTAGTTATAAGAAAATGTAAAAATTGATTTATTGGCGAACGAACTGGAACTTGCCAACGTCAACACAGCGTTTTGTTGGTAAATTTCTGTACCATTAACTCGAATTTAAATGGTACAGAAGATTAAGGATCTTCTGTACCATTTAAATTCAGAATCGGCGATGGGAAAACGAGAATTTTTTTGATGTGTTAGAGGAGTTATGTGCATCTTCCTTCCTTTATTTAAGTGAAAAACTTAAAATTTGTGATGGAAAAAATGAAAGTTTTATGAAAAATATCCATAAAAAAGAAAACATATTTTCTTGAAAATAAGTTCTCCTTGTCCTGTTAAGTATTTAACAATAACGAGTGAGGAGGTGTGGGAAGAAATGCAAATATCTTGATTTATTGTAAGAATATGGAACACACTCATACAAGAAAAATTTCTTTATGTAAATTTCTGTGACCTTTCCCACTTTTCTGGATTTAGTTAGAGAAATTCGTAGGAGGAATCAAGAGTATTAATGAAAGAACTTCAGAAGATTCATTCTATTGTTTAATTACAGAAGGATTCTTAAGAAGAAATTAAGATTTTTACTATGTAAAACGCATTTCTACCGATAAATGGGCGAAGATAATTGTTAAAAATATGTGGGAATAGAGCAAATGTATATATTTTAATATAGAATAGAACCTAAATCCTAAATTAATCAAGATTTATGATACATTTCCATAACTGCATGGATTGAATAAAGATTTTTCTTTTGGTTTGACCTGTTTTTGGCTCTTTTCTTGAAGTAAACAACCAAGATCAATTGGTCTTTGTGGCTCTTCTCTTTTTTGAGATTTGGCTCTTTGTGGCTCTTTTCTTGAAAACAAGATCAACTGATCTTTTGGATTTTCAGTATTTCAATGAGCCACAAATAAATCCACAACACTTTCTCTCCATATATAATTGATAGTATCTAATGATAATCTCAAAAAATTAAAGTGAAACGCATAAATGACAACACCCACACGGTAAAAAGCACGTTCTACACACTCAAATTTCTCAGACTCCGCTTTTAAGTCAGGCACATTGCCACATTATCCTAGGTTAACGATATAGAAATGAGTGACATACAGGTGCATTCATCTCGATAAATTCGATTTCAGGAGGAAAATAAAGCGCCGAAAATCGCCCTTAACACGAAGTTTAATGCACTAAAGCTAATATTAGACGAGGTAATTTTGTTCACAGCCCAATAGAGCACGGCAATTGCCACCTCGTCACTTCAGAGCATGAGATTTTTTTAAACTTAGCTCCAAATATATGTAATCAGCCCACTTATGAAACCAAATTTGGACTAAACGAAACAAATACAACGCCCAATTTTTTTTTTATTTCGAGGGGAATTTTGACCTATATTTATTGTTCTATTTTGAACGCCCTTTATATTTTTTTTATAGTCTTTTGTAACTCGCTGGCGTTATTAATAGATATCGGTTATCTAACATCTCGATTTTGTAATTAAAAAAAAAAGGCCCTAATAAGTGACCCATGAGGAAATTTTTAGCCGTCAACAGCTAAAAATGGATGCCGTTTTTCTGCATAACAGAATTACGTATTCGCTTCGAAAGTAATTACCGACTGACGAAAGTATCAAGGGTTGAAATTCTTAATGACACGAAACCCTCCGTGACAGTGTTTAACATTATCTCACGGGATTCCGTTCTGCTCCAAGTCATTTTGCCTCATTATATGATAAAATTACTAAGAATAGTTTATCAAGATGTGCATAAAATTAAATATTTTTCGGCTTAGTTAATGGTAATCGAGAGCGACATCACTACACCAACTTGTAATTTCACTTTTTCTAATGGCTGAAAACACCTCTAGGACATGCGGATTCATTACGAAAAAGGGTTCGTTTTTTTCGTGCGGGTTTCCTACGGGTTTATTTTTAATTTTGGATGAATTATCACATTTATTTTCTAATTTAAAAAGGGTTATTTTTAAAGAATTGCGTAACTGACATTCGGGTAAGGCCAGAAATCCTAGAAATTAAGCATTTGGTGCTCCCGTTCACGGTCTTATGAAGATATCTTCGCTTTCAAGGTTACAGAAATCGGTTTCTGCCAGCCAGAATGACAGAAATAGATTATCATGGCCATGAAAGCGTGGTGATGTGAGTAATCTGATTTTCTGCTGAAGTCGGATTTCAAGAGAGTGGTCATCAGTGAGAGCAGCTGGAAATCATTTGTTCATTTTCAGTATGCATAACGGGGGATACATAAAGAAGAGTAATTAATGGAAGTGTAAAGGGTAACAATGCCGAATGGTGCATAGCTTCAAGTTGTGAGGTTACCTAGTTAAAGGATACCTACACCATTGAATAATTTACAAATATTTTCCAACATTTTACCTGTTTTATGGATTCTCTCAACGCATAAGTGATCCAGCATCTAATCGATCAAATGAAGAAGAAAGGAAAAAAAACAATTTTCGAGAGCAAAAATCATAAAAAATATCATCAAAATTTTATGCTATTTATTATATTTAACAACACACAAACAACCCGAGTGTGTGTGTGTATCATAATGATAAATGTGAGGCCAACCAATTTGGAGTCATCGAGTGTAGAGGGCATCGATCTTCCTTATATTTTAACCTTGATTCTAAGTTTCTTACTCTTCTTCCATGTCAACACATCGCCATTTTTTAGAACAATTCCACCAAATTGTTCGAATTATCATCGAGTTTCTTCAATAGAAAACATTGTCCATGCTTTATAATTCTAACTGGACAATGTCTAAACAGAAAAATGAGGGGGAAAAAACGGTTTAAGTTGCAACCGGTTTGTCTCTTCATTCTGTTACGTAACAGGAAATGATGGAAGTGACCGTTAGAGAATCACAGTGAAAGTATTAAGTCACGGCATCGCAACCAAGAAGAACATGGGGTCGAGGTATGACCGCTACGTGGTTTGGACTGTAACTTTTTATAGTCATTTTCTACTGACAACCTGAAACTTGTTTCAATTTTAGAACTTTCTTCCTCTGCTTTAATAGTTTTCCGGATGGCATAACTAATTGGCATCAATGTATATCATGGATAGAAGGATTGGCAACACTAGTCGAAGGGGTTGTAATGCTAAATCACAACTAAGATATTCAGGATAATTCATAAAAATTAGGATACGGGGAATAAGAAACTGGCATTAAACATGCAGCGATAATTATTGATCATCAATTAGAGCAGGAAAATTACGAAGATAAAGCAGGCATGGATGTATAATTGATGAATTTTTTTGATTACGGCTATAATTTTCAACACGATTTTTTCTCTTGTATGCTTATTAATCTCTCTAAAAATCTATTTATGCTTCACAAAGCATAACTCCGAAATAACGCTTTCATACCAGAAAGTACAAACACTTGGTGTCAGTCATAGAGAGTGATTCTTGACAGGATAATAGGAGAGAAAAACCATCATTTTGTAAGAAAATTAACAGGAAGAGATGAAATTTTTTACATTTATAAAGGAAAAAGAAAATAGCAACGGGTTGCGTAACTTTCCAGGCAAAAGAATTTAAAATTGCGTGTGGCGCCATCTTTTACCAGATTTTATTAAACAACTTTTTATAAAATTAATTATTATAAAATGGAAAATCGCTTAATTTTGTGGGTAGCGATGAATTTCATTAAAAAAATAAATAAAAATTTGTAAATGCTAATAACGAATAACACCATTAAGTCCGACCCCACTCGAGATACGATACATTTCCCTCCTATA